AACAGCCAGCGTGAGTCTTGAACCAAATGAAAAAAATCAAATAATTTGGGTTTCTTTGCAGGTTCCAGTGAAGAATCAAATACACCAAGAATATATATCCTGAGTCCATATTTCCGTGGAGCCACTAAGCTTGTCATTCCAGAAAGAGCAATAGCAACAACAACAACAAAAAACAACAAAGAAAACAACAACAACACAAAGACATGACATCTCAGCTCTGTGCCACTGCCCTGCCTGTGACATGTGAGTGACCGCAGGGCCACAGGAGGGAGTGGGCACTGTGCTCCGCCTCTCAGACAGGCCTTGCTGGGGAGAAGCATCTGCAGAAAACAAGCAATTCTGCCCGGCCAGTGTGGCTAAGTGGTTGAAATTCGACCTATGAATCAGGAGGTCAGGGTTCGATTCCCGGTCAGGCCACATGCCCAGGTTGCCAGCTTGATCCACAGTGGGGGGCGTGCAGGAGGCAGCCATTCAATGATTCTCTCTCTTCATTGATGTTTCTCTCTCTCCCTCTTTTCTGAAATCAATAAAAATATATATATTTATAAAAAGAAAATAAGCAATTCTGTCCCGAGTAAGTGTGACCTACAAGTCTGAGGTCACCAAGGACTCACGATCGGACTCGGGCACGGCGGGTGCCTAGACCCACAATTCCTCCTCGTGTGCTGTGCCCACCCACGTGTGGGCTAATTCAATCCCATCCCTGCTCTCCCCAGTACACAGCTCCGAGTTCACTCAAGGGTTCACCAGAAGCCGGGCTGCCTGTCCATAGATCCACGTTCAGAAACATCCCTCCGGTCACTGCTGGAAGCACGAAGCCACGGTTCTCAGATGGTAACACACACACTGGTCACTGGCAAGAGACCGTTTAAGTAAAAACTGAAGAGACTTTACTCATGTAACTAACAAGAAATTATTAAACTCCGCCCTGTGCCAGGTGCCACAGAGGCAGGCTTGTGGCCAGGGGTTCCCCCACGCATGGGAACGCGGTGTCTGAGGTCATCCTCACAGCTCCACGGAGAGTGGGTGCGAAGGTCCCGGGACACATAACATACAGACTGTGGACTTGACCTTGATTGCCCTTTCTCACTGCCTACTAGCGGGCCCACCACACAGATGCCCCACACGCAGCTGAGGGTCTGCGTGTCTCCACGGGAACAGCCCTTACAGGCCGCACGGTGTCACTAAAGACACGACCACCCAACATGCCCTTGGTCACTAAGCCCCTCTTTCTTCCCCGGAGACAGCAGCTTCTTTTCGATCCAGAATAACTCATTCGAGCTGCCGCTCCCCATGGCCGTGCCACTACCCGGTACGGGCTGCCAGCGCTTCTCCATAACCCCACTTGGATTTCCGCTGCTAGCTGCGAGTCTCATCTTTGTTTTCTAGCAGGAGAGTGACTTTTCTAAAATTAGGTCTCCTCATCTTTATTGAAAACACTTCGGAAACTCCTCACGGCCTTCAGGCTGAGTCCAGACATCACTACGCAGTGACAGGTTCCCGAGGAGCCGGCCCCTCTGCCTCCCTGGCCATGACCACGCTCACCCTCCAGGCGGTAGACATGGTAGCATACGTTTAGGCACAGCGTAACATGAGCTTTGGTTCCCTGAACAAAGCACACACCTTTCTGCCTTTGCTCAGCTTCCCTCCGCTTAGCATCCTCCTCTCCCTCCCTCCGTTCCCCTGATTAAGAACTACCCGCTGACCTTAGTGCAGGGACCGCTTCCTCCAGGAAGCTTTCCTGGCCTGATCTCCACATCTGTGCTGAGGACTCTGGTCTGTGTCCCCAATTCTCCCACCTCCCCAATCAAAATACATTCCCAGTGATGGGGAAAGTGCCGGATACTGACCTCTCCCCCCAGGCCCCACCCTCCTTCCTGTTTTATACAGAAAGCTCCTCAACGACAAGACTCCTGAGTGACGAGGTCCTTGGGGAGTCCCGTCACCTCGCTCCCTGATTGGCCTTTGGTGGTTACTCAGTAGCCTGGACAGCCTGGGGGGTTGAGGAGAAAACAGTCCCGGGATCTTGTCTATCGGATGGGCAGGCGGAGGGAGAGGACCCACCAGAGAGACCAGGGCAGCCAAGGGGAGAGGCATGGCGGGCAGCGACAGAGGACAGCAAGTGGCAGAGTGTCCAGTGTGGGAGGGCGGGGAGCTGAGAGGAGGCGGGAAGACTGTCCTGCCTCCCTCTGGACAGCAGCCGGTGGCAGCCCAGGTGGGGGTGTGGCCATGTGGGTGGCAGTTGAGTGCCAAAGGCAGGCGACAAGATGGGCTGAGGAAGGACAAAGGCACCGCGTTTGAGTCAACATGCCGGTTCTCTCTCCCCAAGCCCAGAGGAAGTATCTGCGCGAGTGTGTGCGCGAGTGTGTGCGCACGTTACAGCTTCTTTACAAAACTTCTCGTGGCTCTGGCGGGAAAAGTGAATGGTGAGGCTCTGTTGGGGGAAGGGCAGGGAGAGATAACACATAAACCATGGCGTTCAGACAGATCTGCCCGGTCATGAAAAAGAGCAAATGCTAACAAAAAGTAAACTTAGGAAAAAGAACCATTTTTACGTTTCAGAAAGGACTGCTCTGCTCCTGAGCACACTCACTGAGCTGTCTGAGAGCACAGCCCATATCTTTCACAGCCACCACAAAGCCTCCTGCCCGAGGTCTCCGCCCCCAGGCTGTTCCCGTGACCCAGGTATTCGGGAAAACAGCGCCCACTTCCCATCCGCCAGGCCCAGCCTCAGGTGGGGCCCAATAGCCTCGGGAAGGCAACACTTCTGAGAAAATACTCATCTCAGTTACAGGAATGTCTCACCAATAAGAAACAGTGCGTGTGGATAAGAAGGGCCTCGTTTTCCTGGTATAAGTAGGCTCTTCATGTAAGTCCCTACTGGAGATAAATTCTGTACGTTTCCATCACAGTCATTTCACTTACGACGGTTTAAGAGAGTGCGCTGAGGAGAATGGGCTGAATACGTTAAGTTACTTTTCATGAGACATATGCTGCTTATGCAATTAACAATGCATTCAGCATCACTAAGCTCTAATTTTAGAAACATTCTCCGTCCACAAACATGAATCATTAATTCTGAATTCAATTTCCACACGGCTCGTTTTCACACGCAACCTTCCGGAGGCTATACTACACAATATCTCAAATATTAATTCACTTCTTTGCAAGCAGATTACACTCCTAGAAAACATATCTGCACAACAAATATACACACATTACAAACCAAATGAAACTTTTATGAAAAACAAAACCATTTTCTTCTCCAGCTTCATAAATCCCCCATCACGCTGTGTCGTAAACGCTCACAGTGATGTATGTCAGTCACTCCTCAACGGCAGGGAGAGAGGGACACGCTTTTCTTAAGGGAGCTTGCACTTCTGGCCACGATCCGATCTCCCATCTTTCAGAGAAATGCACCAAACCCTTTGTCTAATCAAATTACAAATAATATTTCAGGGGACGCCAAAGCTTAGCAAGTTGCGTGTATGGGAAAGTGTATGAGGTTTTCTCTCAGTCCCTTCACCTTTTCCCAGCCCCACAGCGCCCCACCCCTCTGACAGCTGTCAGTCTGTTCTCTGTCCACGAGTCTGTTTCTCTTCAGTAAAACACATTTCAAACCAAGTGCCTGCAGGGAACCCAGGGCCTGGCGTCTTGGTCAAGGGGGCCACGCCTGGGTAGACTTTTTCATGGTGAAGATGTCCCGTGTGTTAGAGGTTTGGGCCGGCAGCACCCCATCGGGCACGGTGAGCGCCAAAGGAACAAGCCCACACATTTCCAAATGCCCCCAGGGGGCAGTGCTCCCATTTAGGCAAGAAATTTCAGTGCAGACCAACGCAGCTGCCCACATTTGCATCACCAGAGAGCCATGGAGTGAGGGCCCAAACCCCCGTGTCCCGGAGCCAGCACCACCGGGAGGGACCAAGAGAAAAGGTGAGTAACAGACGCCTGCCTTTCTCTAATCTTCGCCCCACTCGTCCTGCACTGGACAACTCATTCCTCACACGCTAAGCTGACATCAAGTCATCCTTGGCACTGCTCGCCAGTTCTCTTGTCCCATTTGTCCACATCCTGCTCCACCCAGCTTGGGCAGGTGCACCCCATCCGGACTGAATCTGGGCTCCTCGCCCTGAGGACAGGTGACAGGTGTCAGCACAAGCCCAGGACCTCCGTGGAGCAGCCCCGAAGGCCAGGCCTCCTCCGTCACAGTCTCTACGCTCCCCCTCATCCTCACCTGGTCCTCCCCACACCTGCACTGCCCCATCAGCAGGGGCATCTTCCCTTTTCCTTCTGCCCCCCCACAAAGGGATCCACCTCCGCGCCTCTCCCATTCTTGGCTGTTTATCTCACTGTGTCTCCAGCAGTGGACAGAGGTGGTGCCTGAGGGAACCCTGGGCCCCTGCTCCAGAGTGTTAGAGTCCACAGTTTCCACGCTCGTCGGAGCCATGCAGAGTTCTGGTAGAGAGCTCATTTCCGTCCTTGTTACTGAAGCCTAAGAGCTTCTGTCATAATTAGATATTGAACCACATAAACCAGTTTTCCAGTACTATTGTATTTGTAAAATGTATACTTTTATTATTGGTTTCAGAGAGGAAGAGAAAAGGGGAGAGAGAGAGAAACAACAATGATGAGAGAGAATCATTGACTGGCTGCCTCCTGCATGCCCCACACTGAGGATTGAGCCTGCAACCTGGGCATGTGCCCTGACCAGGAATCGAACCTGGGACCTTCTGGTTTATAGGTTGATGCTCAATCACTGAGCCACCCTGGCTGGGCTGTGCTATTGTATTTTTCAATGTCATCACACAAAGAATACTTAGAGGTGAAAAGTCTTTACATCATTGCCCCTGGTAGGTTTCATTTCATTTTAATTTTTACTTCACTGAGTGATGAAAGCCAAACCTCTGGAGCCGCTCATCTCAGGGGAATGCCTCCATCCCCATGAGCTTGAAATTCAAGTTCAGCAAGAAACCTGTGACCACGAGGGGCTGTGAGCTTACCCGGATGTAGGCGTCCTGGTGCTGCTTGGCGAAGTAGAGCATGTTGTCCAGGGCTAACATCCCCGGGGGTGTCTGGGTAAAGTCCATGGCGGGGTTGACGTGATTCTGTGATTAAAACACAAGGTTGGATCAGGTTAATGCCTCAGTGCACCCACCAGCCAGCAGAGGTCTGGCTTCCCACCTCAAGACCGAAGCACCACAAGGCAAACTCCAAGTAACCAAGTAGGAAGACCTCTATCTCCATGGAAACCTGCTGGGTAGTGGTAGGAGCTTCTATCTACAGGGACAGCAACGCCATCTTTTACACCCGGGTTAGGAACTCAGCTGAAGAGCGAAGTGCAGGATTATCCTTAGATGTAACACTGAAGGTCAAAGAAAATCATGTAACAACTGTGTGTCTGGGAGCTGTGCTGTGGTGAAACCAACAGCATTTGGGGAGAAAGAGCTGGGACGAGGCCACATCTCGGCCATTAGCTGCTCATTCTGCACCTTAACTTCCTCATCCTCACATGGTGCCCACCCAGCCCGTGGCCTCTGTGAACTGTCCAGGGTTACACAGCCCACAGGCCTGGGGCATGGGCACTGGATAGAAAGCAGGTGCCCCAGGTCCCGACACCTGCCTGCTCTCGGGGAGTGCGCTGACCTGTGGTCACTGCACACAGTGTGAGAACCAGGAAGACAGAATCATAGTCACAAATACACCCAACACATTCTCCACAGGTTCATGGTCACCCAACAACCACAAGGCTCTTGTCCAAGGAACAAACCACGCTCCACCGTTAATCCTCAGACCGACCACGCCTCCCCGTCCTAAACATGCATCTACAGATGGTGAGTGGTTTGTTTTTTTGTTTTTGTATTTGTTTTTTTTTTGGTTAAAGACCTGAAAAATAAATGTTAAAGAGGCATTAAAACACTTGCTTTTACCTCCTAATATAGGTAATTGGTGTGAAACTACATAATTGTGTTTTGTTCCTAAATCCTTGTGAATGAGCAGCTTGGCTCTCTGAACTGCCAGGACATTTTGGTTCTCTGTAGCTTTTCTAATTCCAGTTCAGGAAGGACTTCTTGTTCACTTACTCAAGGTTCAAACAGCCCACGCTCCTGTAAATTATGTAAGAGAACACAGACGCTGTCTTTTCCATGCTGCTGAAATGTCTGAAACGCGAATGTTCTGAGCTGCCAAACGACGTCTGAAATGACCGCAGAGCGGCGCTGCCTGCCGGCCGCAGCACCCCTGCCCGCTCTCTACGGCAGGGTGGCTCAGTGCAGCGACTTTGTTTTCATTCAGCATTTTATCCTGATTCATTTATTCGGATGTTGGGAAGTTTTAAAAATCGCAAAGCACCACCACTTATACTAAGAGGGACAGATCTCATGAAATAAACATAATTGTGTCAAAAATGCAATTCACCAGACACATTAAAGACGGGGCTTCGGCTTCCACCTGATGTTTATGGAGTAAGAGGTCAGGTTTGTGATCAATAGTGGGGGGAATCAAAATGCTGGAAATCACTGATCAGAGACTTCATCTAAAAAGTAAGGTGCGACGAAAGACTTTGTAATACTGCAGTTCTTTAGAGAGCAGTGGAATGTCTCACTGCACACAAAGGTATTATTTTGACTTTGGTACGTTGGATTTTCATGAATACAAGTAGCAGCTTAGGAAGTTACTCTTTGTGGAGTACTTTCGTGTCATCCATGCTATCATCTCTCTAGCACACAGGCAGTGGGCGCCACCTCCTCAATTTGTTGACGAGGAAACCGCAGCACCATTTGCAAGTCGGATGCATTTGTTTGGTGCTGCTAGCATTTCGACGCTACACAGACTGAGGACAGTTGATCTGAGAAAAATGTAGACTGCTCAATATTAGCTGCCCCCCAGCATGGTCCCTGCAATGAAGAAGAGTGTGCCCCATGGTAGAGAGGAAAGTATGGCATTTATTTCAGTCCTGTTTCTAGTGTTGGTGTATGAGTCTATTCCAGCCGTGGGCAAACTACGGCCCACGGGCCGGATCCGGCCCGTTTGAAATGAATAAAACTAAAAAAGAAAAAGACCGTACCCTTTTATGTAATGATGTTTACTTTGAATTTATATTAGTTCACACAAACACTCCATCCATGCTTTTGTTCCGGCCCTCCGGTCCAGTTTAAGAACCCATTGTGGCCCTCGAGTCAAAAAGTTTGCCCACCCCTGGTTCCAAAAATAAATACACAGAAAGGAAACCAAATGACAAAGAGTAGTTTCTCTGGCTCTAACTGGAACAACCCCCCAAAGCGGTATGTTAGTGAAGCTGACCCTGGAGAAGGTCCCACAGCTCAAAAGTCATCAGTCTTGTTTGCATTTGCTCCCAGGGACCCTTCAAAGCCTCCTTCTATCGGACACACACACACACACACACATCCTATGCACACCTGGGGGCCACCAAATAGGGTACCACTGATTTCAAAAGGTCTTACAGTTAAATAATATAATTTACTTTAGGGTTCTTTTAAAGAAACATGTGGCTATTTAGCAAATACTCCCAATAAAATAATGCCTGTGTTATGCCATGAATTCTGCAAAGTACCTTCATGTACTGACTCTTGATCCTCAAAGTAGGTTTGATTATTATTCTCCCATGACAGAGAAGGAAACTGAGGCACTGGGTGTCTGGGGAGCTTGCCCAAAGTATAGAGCCAGAATTTGGCAGTCCCATTTACAACTGCATCAAAAAATAAAATAAAATACCTTGGGATAAATTTAACCAAGAATGTAAAAAGCCTGTACTTGGGAAATTATCAGACAGTAAAAAAACAAAATGAAGAAGATACAAATAAGTGAAAGCATATACCATGTTCACGGACAGGAATAATTAACGTCATTAAGACATCCATACTACCCAAAGAAATCTACACATTCAATGCAATTCTATCAAGATACCAATGGCATATTTCTCAGAACTAGAATATTCCAAATATGTATATGGAACCACAAATGACCCTGAATAGCCACAGCAATCTTGAGAAAGAACAAAACTACCTGATATCAAACTATACTACATGGCCCTAGTAATCTAAACAGCATGGTACTAGCATAAAAGCAGATCAATGAAACAGAAGAGAGAGCCCAGAAGTAAACCCACATCTTTATGGTCAATTAATACTCAGAGTGCAGGCTCTTAACCAGGGTTTTAGTGTCCAGGGGTTGAAGTTCACAGAGATGCCCAATGCAGAGGTCCTCAACTGTGGTCCTCCTCCGTCCGCATTACTCGCTCAGGGATAATGGGCCTCAGTCCATCCTTTTAAACAAAAGCTACAATTTCTCCATCCCTCCCAGGCATAACAGCGCTCGCTCTCTCTCTCTCTCTCTCTCTCTCTCCCTTTCAACACACCATTCCTCTGGTCTCTGACAAATAGGCTGCTACTCAACAGAAGGAATTAGAAAACTGCCTTTGATGTTCTGGGACTTGCCCTGAATTGTGAAGCTCCCTGCACTGCAGATGGAAAACAAATTACTTCGTAGTGGTGGGTGAACTCTGTTCTCTCTTTCTCCCTCTTTTTTGTCCCCAGGTTCCAGGTTCCATTTTCCCAGCTCCTCTCTCCTTCAAATTATTGTTTCCCTTTTCCCTTTTGGCTTTAACCGTCAGTAAAGTTATTTACAACCTTGGTTTTGGTATCAGGAAAACGAAAAGAATTACATGCTGAAAGCCTGGGAAGCTTTCCACACTGTGACAAAAATACTCCAAAAACCCGGCGAGGCCAACAGTCCCCCACTTTCTCATTTATGAGACGCTCTGGGTACGGATTTATTTTCCCTTCTTGGTCCGTGATATTTTCCCTGCCCGTCTTGAAATAGAAGCAGCGTGAGCTTTGATAAACGGCTTGAAATGTTCCCTATCTTACGGCAAAGCCTGTGTACCTCTGTGCATCCCTCTGAAATGCTGTTTCTTAGTTCCTGCAGAATGCTGCTCAGTGAGTCCGATCAGACAGCCCACGGCCCCTACAGAAATGGGGGTGCGCCCTTCCCAAAGCACCGGGGGCTTTTCATTTTGGGGAAATGACACAATGCTGAAGGCAGCACGGTTTTTTTTATAGCGAGCACCCTCGCGGGGTTTGGGTGTGGAGGTCTGGAGATCTGTTTCTCTTGTTACCCAGGTGCCTGGGTTTCAGCTGAATTATTTCAATGACACATCCAAGGGGCAGTTGGTGATCTAAGAGCATCGCTCCGCCTGTTCCGGGCCCTACCCCAAGGCCACTGGAGAGAGAGCTGGAAGGGACCTGAAATATAACCTGGGCTGGTCGCCTTACTTTACCGACAAGAACCAGGGCTGCAGGGTCCGGACCTCCTGGGGGGCTGGGCAAAGCCCCGGGCTCTGAGTCGGAGGGCTGGGTGGGGTGGACATGCTGCCTCTCCAACACATTCCCAGGGGTGCAGGTGCTGCTGGCTGGAGGCCACAGCTTGAGACCATGGTGACCAGACTGACTCGTCTGGGTAACACATGAAATATCAAAATGAGATCCAGACCCACCCATTCCTCAAATGTGCAGCGTCTACCACACTAGAGCTCAAACCCACAGGTTCCAAGTAGCAGATGCATTTGCAATATACTCGCTGTTCATCCCCTGGGTGCGTGGCCTCTCCCCCAGAAAACAGACTTCTTAACTCAGAAAGAGGAGTGACAATCAGGAAGCTCTCATTTCTCCCATCGCTCACATCCTAGCGGAAGTCACATGGAAGAGCGCCTCCTTGGAAGGCGGGAGACTGTCACCAGCCACGGAGTCCTGGTCCTGCGCGCTTCCTGGCTGGGGGTCAGTGCCCCACACCCCGAGTGAGTGTTGAACGATCTACGTTGCTCAATGCCCAGGGCCGGGCTGCTCCTTCGTTGTGCGGATGAAATAAAGAGCTGATACCAGGGGGCTCACCAGCAGGCACACCACAGGGGAGGGGAAGGGGCTTTGAGAATTTAGGAGTTCACATTTGTGAAACATGAATGCCTGCATGCGCTGAACAAAGAAAAAACACCTTCAAAGCAAAGCGCACTGAGGAAATAGCCGTTCCGTCTACAAGAGGCCGGATCAAGGATGCTTCTCGAGGCAAGGAGTTTAGGTCACTTTCTCCAGGG